TAGGTTTTTAGTGATAGTATACCCAATAAAAGCCCGTTCCTGGTGTACTATGAGCTCAACCAGAAAGGGTTTGGTTCTTGTATGGAGTTTAGCCATTCTGTTGGCCACACCTGTCCTCTTAACTAAAGTAAGACATATCTTGAAAATTGATTGAAAGCTAATGAAGAGCTGATATACAAATAGACTGTACATTCAATGACTTATTACAACAACACAACACAACTGACGGTTTATTACTGTTGGGATTCTGACGACGATTTGGCCTTTTCTGTGGCCGTCTATCAGCTATTCGTGATGTTTGTATTGCCGGCGCTTTTTATGCTTATTTGCTATTTCCTTGTTATGCAAGAACTATGGATTAGCAACAAATCCGTTCATGAGATGACACATTCAGAGTCTTTCAAACACAAGTACTTAGTATTATATTATATTTCTTTATTTTATATCAAGTATTATGAGAAGTAAATCTAAATCAAGAATTTATTCTTATATATCTTAATAAGAAATTGTATTTTTACAATTCTGTCACCAAATTAAAGTTTTGAATATTTCATGAAACTATTTATTTATTCACACATAAAGCACATCACGGAGTGGCAGTCGAAAGGAGCACCTAATATGTTGGCCAACACTGAGACATCACAAACAAAATATAGATAATACCACTTCTTCTAACTCACACTCAAATACATCAGACATTACAAGAGGTCGCAAACAGGTTTGACATTCAAATTAATTTATAAAATTACATAAACTTACTTAAACCATAAGAATGACATTTAGATTTTCTAAAAGGTTTAGTGAATACTGTTTGTCAAATGTAATATAAATTTTTAAATAAATTTAAATATAATTAGAATAAAAATATATAGAGAATTATTAAATTTCTAAATATAATTTTAAACATGAAGATTTACTTAACAATTAGGATTTTCTAAATAAAAAATTAATATTAACTTTTTTATTATTTCTAAGTTTTAACATTATTTTTTACAAATAACAAATTATTCTTTTAATGATTTAATGATAAGATTACATTTAATTTTTATTATCATATATATTCTTTATGTTATTTCAAATGAAAATTCACTTTAAAGATCAATAATATAAGCAATAAATAAATTTGATACTCCACTAAACGTATGGACACAAAAAAAGTCGTTTTCGATATTGTATTTGTATTTGTTTAACTGAAACAACAAAAACTTTAAATTTATTCTAAATGTTGAATACTTAATAACTTTTTTGACACTTTCGGACAAACAAACAAAAATAAAATGATAATCAGATAAAAAACTAAAATAAAAAGTAAACCGATAGAATAACTATAAAATTTAAAATAAAAGTATTCATAAATATAATATTAAATTGCTTGTATAAACGTAATCAAAATGTAATATTTAACCAAGTTAACTTTTAATTTTCAAGGTATCAAAACTTATGAATATTGAAATAGCATAATAGCATAATAACCAAGTTTATATAGAATATACGACAAATTATTTGATGTTAATGAAAATGAATTGATATTTGATGGCAGGTGATCAAGATGTTACTGTTGATAGTGATCCTATTCATGCTGTGTTGGGGCCCGCGATTGGTGATGAATGTGTTGATAAAGTTAGGTCTACAGAGTTTCTCGCACTCGGCCTATACGGCCAGAATCGCCTGCTATTTGCTGTCATTCATTCACTCAGCGCTCAATCCCTTCGTTTACGGTCTTATGTCCAGTAATTTCCGGCGAATGGTTTGTCACTCCTGTAAACGCGGCAATCGATTCGCAAACAACTCCGAAA